CATCTGCCACAAGGACTTTGGTGACTGCAGTAGAAAGCTGAAGCCCTGAGGGCTATGCCTGGTTTGCATACAATGTGCATATTTGCATGAGAAAATAGTGTTCTATCCATGTACTTACATTCCTATGGCAACTTAAAAAAAAAATTAAAGCATCTTGATAGTATCTTCTTTCATTCTTAGATTACTCATTGAGGCACATTAGGGCAGAAATTACTGTATCAAACTCACAGACAAAATGATTTGCCTGAAGCTAAGCTGGATCAACAAAGGCAGAGCTAGAGAAGAATCCAGCGGCTACCTCTAGTTTCTAGCACTAGCCCCATAGTTCATAGGGATTCAAATTAATAGTGAATAAATTCAACCATAAATGCAAATTAGCAGTGCAGCTAAGCCACTCAGTCATCAAGATATTCTGGTTCCCTGGCACTGCTGAGTCAACTGTGACTCTCTGTGGTCAGGTTCGTCTGCATATGTCCAGCACCCACGCAGCTGGGCACCTGTGGACAGGCACTGTGCAAGGTAAACTGCTTTCAAAGATGCTGTCATTTTTTTATCTGTGGCCAAAGAAAATTTCTGTTTCTAGGATGCCGATTGGATTGGCAGCCAACTTGGGCCAAGTTAAATGTTGTTTGGGACCATTCAACTGTGCTACCCTCTGAGTGGACACAGACTCTATAAAAATTAGAGAAGAAAGAAAAAGAAAATAAAAATTGCCATACTTCCATTTATGATAATTTGATGCCATTTTACTTGGGGAAATATCATTAATGCTACTTTAAGATGGCTGCACAATGATTTTCTGAAGTTTAATACTCTTATGAAAAATGACTTCCTTAATGAAGTTAACTACTCCTTCAGGTTTTCGTGACAAAACTGGATACATACCATTAGGTTGCTAAGCAAAGCCATGGGATGAAAACATTCTAATTATGTTTAGGTACACAGAGCTTTCAAACAACCCCGTTAAGCCATGGTGCCAGGCTACAGTGCTTGCATCCGAGAAGCAGACAGTTTGGCTAAAGGCCCTCTGGGTGCAAGCCGGAAATCTCATTAACAAAGATCTGTACGTACCCAATTGCATGTCTTCTCAGTCCTGATTTAACTCTTGAACAAGCCTAGAGAACAAGCTCTGGGTATTGGTTTGGCACAGGGATCTAGATCATCTATCTCTACCTCTCAGGTCCCTGAGATCAATGGCCCAAGATAGTAGGTGATGCCTGAGAGTGCCCTGGATTCCATGTTCTCCAAGAGGGCTGTTTCGACTGGAGTCTTCTCAGCTGTGACTGGAAAGTGCTGAGGGATCTACATAGTCTCTGGATTCACACAGGCAGCCTTTAGATCAGGGGCTCTCAACTAGGGTGATTTTGCTCCTAGGGGGTACGCAACAATGTATGGAGACAGTTTTGGTTGTGGGGGGAGGGTAGGTGTTCCTGACATCTAATGGGTAGAGGCCAGGGATGTGCTAAACATCCCATAATGCACAGGACAGCCTCCTACAAAAAAGCACTGTTTAACCCAAAATGCCAGTAGCATTGAAGTTGAGAAACCCGCCTTAGAAGAGAACATAAAAATGTAACTCTCTGTCACTGTGACTATGAATTTACTGAGGACTCACGATGCAATAAAATCTCAGTAAGGGCTACCCGTGTTTGCTATGGCTGTATCTCCTCACTTCAAATTGCTCCGTAAGTCAGTTACTCCTGGGTAGCAAATGTAGGCAGCACTGTGAAAAGGGCTGTGCTGCTGCGTACATGTCTCCTCCTCTCCTTTCAGATTCCCTCTTATTCTCTGAGCCACACAAACCCAGGCTTGAAGGGCCCCTTCAGGGCCAGCCACCCCGCAAAACCACAGCCTCTATTCTGGATTCAAGCTTCAGAGCTTGCATCCCGGCTCCCCGGCTCTCTGGCACACTGGCTTGGGAGCCTGGGCACACACTAATGCTGGGACTCCCGTTCTTCATTTTCACGTTGGGGAGCATATGTACCTCATAAGCTTTGATGAGAATCTGTGGCAGGCGCCTACCTGGTGCCTGGCCCACAGTAAAAATCCTATGAAAGTCAGGTTTGGTGCTGTGCTGCTACTCCCATATCCATCAGCATCATAGCTGTAATTATTCCTTCCTGGATCAAAAGGGTGTTCAACTGGAAACCAGCCAGACAAGAAAAATAATAATTTGGTTCATTCTAGAATCTGAGTAACTTACTGTATCTGAAACTTTCCCCACCTGGGGAAAGTTGCATTTCAGGAAAGAACAAAGGCAAAATCAAAGGAATAAATTTCTCCTGAGGGACTTTCAAGTTCTCATGACAAGGAGGAGAAATATTTTTAAAGGGTCAGTTGTCCTTTTATTCTTTTAACAGGCTGGCTCTGGCTATCTTTGTAGCCTCTCTCTGTATGAATCTGAAGCTTTTGTGCGCTCTAAAGGATCTTGTTGTGTAAATAGGATGGCTCAAGAGCCACTGCCTTGTCTCCCCTAGAGGACAGATGTGGCATTCAGTCAGGGTGGTGGGAAAAATTTTAAGAGGATATTATAGGAAAGAGAAGCAAACCTTCCTGGAAGGTCGGGGGGGTTTGCATCGCTTTAGTAAAAGATTTGACTGAAAGCAGCCTAACCCTCTTTACCTTGAGTTGATACCAAAAGAGCAAATAACAAGGGAATGTTGGGGAGTTTATCTAAATAGCTTGTTTACTCATGTGGTCCTAAGACTAACCTTTGATTATCCGCGGGTGCATGATTGCTCTCTACTGGGGGTCAGCAGTGTTAATTTCCCTCTAGTGGTGTTTACTCAAGACCTTTGTCATTTAATCTGTACTAAATAAATGTGAACTTCACTAGCTTATCAGGGCGGATGCTGCAGATTCAGGAGCAGAAGCCCCTTAGCCGCACTGACAGACAAAATATCTGTCAGTGTATGTCTCTCATCTGTCACTGAGTTAGGGTCTGCAGGTCGGACCCCGCAGACAGACACTTTGCACTTGGTACATCCAGGTCCACCCAACAGCAGGCCACTGCCCTGCTCCTCCCTTGTTCCTCTAGGAGGGTCCCAGAGTGGGATGCATCACACTGAGGCCTGGCCTGCCCCTTCCTGCGATCCGGCAACTGCCTCAGTCTCTCACTCTGTATCTCCCAGCTGTCTCCCACTCACTCCTTCATGTCCCCTGCTCCAGTCTGCCGTGTGCCCTCACTCTCTCCATAGGCCGGATTCCTGGATTCGAGTGGGCCCTAAATCCAATGACTGGTATCCTTATAAGAAGAAGGAAGTTTGAACACAGAGGAGAATGCTGTTAGAAGACAGAGAACACACCTGGATATGCTGACCGGCTTTGCTGCCTGGCCTGGCTCCAGAGCTCAGGGCACAACTTCTTCTGCCAGGAAAGAAGTGCATTTCCCTTATTGTACTTGTTCCTGGAAAAGGGAGTGTATGTTTCTCAGAGTAGAGCTGCTTGGGCTTTATATAGGTTTTCTAGGGGTGCCATAATAAAATATCACAAACTGGGTGGCTTAAACAACAGAAATGTATTCTCCCACAGTTCTAGAATCTGGAAGTCCAAAATCAAGGCGTCAGAGACCATACTGTCTCTGAAGGCCCCAGGGGATGAACTTTGCTTTTTTTCAGTGCTGGTGGTTGTCCACGATCCTTGGTATTCTTTGGCTTTTAAAGACATCACTGTAATTTCCATCTCCGTCATCACAAGGCATTCTGTATATCTCTCTGTGTGTTCTCTGTCTTCAAATAGCACTTTCCTCTCTGTATTCAAACTTCCCTCTTCTTATAAGGATACCAGTCACTGGACTGAGAGTCCACCTGAACCCAGTATGACCTCATCTTAACTTGATTACATGTACAAGACCCTTTTTCCAAATAAGGTCACATCCTGGGTGGGCATGAATTTGGGGGTCCACTTACTAGAGCCTGCAGTTCAGGCCTCTAGTAATGGCTTTTCCTGTGAAGGTCCCTTCCTTCCAAAGCATGAAGGCATGCCCAGTGGGCTGGGTGCAGACCCCTCTGCGTACTGTGTGCCCACTGCTCCCTCCCATTCCCAGGGCCATGGGTGATTCTGGCCAGAGGCCCAGGCCCTTCCTCACTCTCAACTTTTCTGTAGAAGGCTTGCTCTCCCTCTCTGGAGTCAGGCATCATAGGTTCCATCCATGCCCAAGTGTCTCAAACAAGAAGATGAACCCCATTCACGGAGAGGCTTTAAAGGAGTCTGGGTCTCCCTGCCAATAGGAGGATGGGTTAGGTGCCATTCAATGCCACAAAGCAGTGTCCCCAGATCCCCACTCTGACCCAGTGGGCCCCCAAGCTATAACATCCTTCTGTAGCAATTGGTGGGTGGGACACAACGGCTCTGCTCACTCTTTTTTTTATAATAAGAGATTTAACCTGCTAAACTGGCAGCAACCTACAGCGGAGGGAGAGCGTGGCCTGTGGAAGAACACAAACCCAGGCCCCACAGGCGAACCCTGTCTCCAGCTCCAGCTGTGTGGCCACAGCCACGCCACCCAATGTCGCTCCACTGTGTGACATTCAGATCAACAAATGCTAAAGCTTCAGCTGGCTTGAGCTCTCTGGCTTATCAAATGAAACACGTCTCTCTGAACCCCAACAAATGCCAAGAGATAAAGCTCTTACATGGATGTGCGCATGTTCTGAAAACCCTGCCTTTGAAAGTGTTAAATGTTATGTGGTTCAAAATGACACGGGAAGGAAAACCCTAGTGGCTTCCCAAGGAGTTTATCTACTCTTCTTCCATTCTGAGGTAGGCAGAGTGTGGTCAGAGGGAGACTGGTAAATGAACCTCAGTGAAGACTGCTGAACTTCATAGGTAAAGTGAGACTTCCCCTCCCCTCAAAAAGTTTAACACATGTAAGAATGATTAATCTTATTCACAGTCTAGCTGAGCACAGAAAGGCACATCTTTTGAAATGTGGACATGCAGCATATTATACATGCAGTATATGATAAAATACAAATAATGCTTAATAGAGCTTCCCTCACCTCGATTCCTTCTTTGTTTAAGGCATACTCATCAAAATTCAAAATGGCGATCTTAATCGTCCTTGGAGGGGGCAGCACCGTCAGACCAATATTGATGGCGTTACTCCTCTTGGAATCCAGAACAATGATCTCTTGCCTTTTTCCATCTGCAGCAGTTTTCTTCATGATAAAAAAAGGAGAATCCAAGATTAATGCACCATCTTGGGTCCTTTCTGCATTTCATTATTAAAAGCACTCACTACTTATTTAGAGATGAAAACAAATGGCCCCAGTTCGGCTCAGAGGACTGGCTACTGTTCAGCACAGAAAGGATCAGGGATTAGTTCTGAGAAGCTGCCAAGCCTGGGTCAGCAACAGAACTTCAAGAGTCAGACACATACAAAAATAAAATGGATTTTCCTTCAATTGGGAAAATGTGATATTTCGCAAGGAAATAAAATCTGTTTTTCCATAGAAGCAGTGAAAACAATATCAAAACCTTTCAGAGTTCCTTTCCTGTGAGCTTCGAGGTGTCAGAATGTCTTGGTTGGCCTTCATACATACGGTGTGTGCCCAGAGACAGCTGATTTACATGCTGAGAAGAGGATCAATAAGGAGAATACAGCACCACTGGCCTGTCAGCCCCTCCAGATCTACAGCTATACTGTCTCAAAGCCCTCACCTTGTCATTCAAACATTCCATGTCCCTTATACCAGAGCACCTCCACCTTTCCTGTGAACTTAGGCCTCTGTGCAGTTGCCTGGTGGATGAATGAAGAGGGGCCTTCCAAGGAAAAGAAAGGAAAGGGCATGCACTGGTGAGAATGAATAGGGGACGAACGGGCTTAGAGGCCTAGGAGGGGAGCAGGGAATAAGAAGTGTCCTGGCATTATCAAAGTCCTTGTATGTGTGGCTTCCCAGTTGGCCTGCGTGGTCCTCAGAGGCAGGTCCTAGGCTTCACTCATCTCTGCAGCCAGCCCAGAATTAGACACGATGGGAGCTTGGCAAGCGGGTGTTAAAAGCCGAATGTTTACGTCCCCTCAAAATTCCTAAGTTGAAGCCCTAACACGCAAAGTGATGATATTTGGAGCTAGGGCCTGTGGAGCTACTTAGGTTTAGATGAGGTCACGAGGGTGAGATCCTCATGATGGGACTGGTGTCATTATCAGTGCGCCACCTGCACAAGCTTCCTTAGACCTGAAAGAGGAAAGCTGGGGGCCTTGTGGTCACAGCTCTGGCCAGTGACAGGGTTGACTCATCACCTCCACACACACTGTCTTAGTTCGCTAGGCTGCCATAAATAAAATACCACACACAGGTGACCTAAAGAGCAGAAATTTATTTCCCTACAGTTTCTGGAGCGCTGGAACTCCAGATCAAGGTACTGGCCAGTTAAGGTTTCCTAGTGAGGGTGCTTTTCTCTTGGCTTGTAAAGAAGCCACCTTCTTTGCTGTGTCTCAAGTAGCAAGAGGAGAGAACAGTAAGCACCTCTGGTCTTTTCTT